ATACCATATCACCATAGATTGGCTACAAAGAAAAACCATTCTTCCCTGTAGTTCTTGTCTGCAATTTTAACTACATTAGTACAAATATAATTAAGAGACGATTATAACATACTGAAAGCATTTGCTTTACTCAACAAAAGCACCTTTAGTTTAATCAACAGAATTTTTCTACATAGGTTACACAGATCTGCAAGGCTTATAAAAGTAAGGTTGATATACAACTTGTGTTGTTATAATGCTGGTGTCCTGTGCTATTCTTCTCTAACAACATTATATCTTACAAGGAATTACAGTTTTCTCTACTATCATCTTTCTCATTTCTTACTGTTGTGGTTTTTACACTTGAAGAAAGGCCTCTGGACTAATAACTTCCTTTCTCATGTTAGCAAACTGTTTTTTGAACTAATTGACCCGCAAGCAGAAACAAATCAATTTTTTTATGAGAGTAGAAACGTGTTGAGCCATTCTTCTGCATTTTCTCCCTTTAGTCTCCATTCTGATTCTATCATGAAAATGTATAACATTACATTGACATGCAAATGAATATATTAGCCCTTTAAAATGTTAAAGCACCTTGGAGAGCATAAGTCTTCTCATTTTAAAAAGTATTATTTTGTGGAATTTTAATATCAATTTCCATCAAGAAATCAGGATCTTCTCATATTAGTGGCCAAACTGAATGAGACCAAAGCACCAGATTATCTAGAGGTGCATTAAATAATATATAAATAATTAAATTAGGGCATGAATTACTTTCTAAAAGTCTAACTATCTTTTGCATGAAATCCATAAACAGCTACCCATAATAGTAAAACCCCATACACTTCTAATCAAAGTGATCTCGGAAATTGTGAGAGTACAGCACCAAATACAATGGCTTATTTAGAAATAAGCTTTGCAATCCTGAGTATGGCTCAAATTTTACATCCTAAGTTAAAACACAAAAATCCCCCCAACAAACAAATAAAAAAACCCACAGAAATAATAACAAGCTGAAACGGATTGTCTGTACTGACAAATTACTTTGTTCTATTGAAGGAACAGAAGCACTTTCCATCTTTGAATGCAATGTTTCTGTCCATCAGTAAGATACTATAGTGACCTTTTTGTGCCCCCACATATGTCAAAAAACCACTTACGTCCACTGCTTTTAAAGTCTCTTTTTTCCTAAACTGACATTACTCAAACTTCTGACTTTGCATCAATAACATTATGACAACATAAGTGCTCAAAATCCATAGCAATGACTCATAAATTGACTTCCATCAAAATAAAATTTAAATTCAAGCTGAACCAAAGCCTTGGAAAATCCAAACACTACTCCTTGAGAAGGTGAAACAAAAGAATAATTCACAAATCTATGTCTGTAGCACAGTATGCTATATCGTCTACCTTTCCAGTGCAGTTTTGAGAGCTTTAATCAGAGTTGGCTAACTGCTTCACCCACTGAAAGGAGAGGTAAAGTACTTTTCAATTTCAACAGAAGCAGAGATCAGTTTAAGGAATAGTAAATCCAGCTCAGGAGATGCTTTCATGGAAGTAGTTATTAGACACTGGCACTTTGCATGCAGTGTAGCAAGCACTATCACAAAGGAGAAGACTGAAAGACAAGGCACTCAACCTTCTATTTTTCCACTGGACACATCTCACCTCTGCAACAGCTACCAGACACCACAGAAATCAAACATGAACCATAACCCCCTCCTCTAGGACTGTGCATTCCAAGACTGTGAGTGCCTGCCCTCATCCCAAATATGAATATGGATAACCAATACTCTCACCATGTTCCCCTCAACAATTTCCTTGGCACAATTCCAGGGAAAAATTTACTTCCTCCCAGGGCTGAGCAACAACATGGCCACCCAAAGTGTCTACCTACCCTTTGAGCTCTATTCTCCCCTATCAGCCCTTCCATCTATGCATGGCCATGGTTTCTGGAGCATCATCTTTCAGTGGCACCACAGTAAAATACTCAGAAGTATTGGCATCACACATGATGAGCCAGTCTGGGTGCACAGGACTGTGATGGAGAGGGGGAAGGAACAGGCACCAAAAGCTATAGGGATGCTTCACCTGAGCCTCACTGACTCCTGAGGTTTTTGTGTGTCACAACTGCTTGTGAGAAAGACAAAACTTTATACAGGTGCAAGCCACCATGATTTTCTAAATAGAGCACACATGCATAGGAAGTGCTACAGTTTTTGTACAGTTATCTTGCTCTAGTTTGCAGAACAGAGCACAGCAATAAATTCTCATTGAAAAGGAAAACCACATAGAGATTTAACTAGGCAAGAAATAATAACTGAGAGTTTGAAATTATGCTTGGAATAATAGGTACATTAAGAATTCCAACTGCAATAAAGTAAGACAATGTGCTTTCAAAACTGGGGCTAAAAATAAGCTTTTCTCTCAATTTATTTAGAACATCTTCCCCACCCTCCATGTCTCCCAGCATCTCAGAACTCACTCACTACTGAGAATAATAAATATATCAAATTAGCATCCACTGTTTTGGTAATTTGTATCCATTTCTTCACAGTAGTATTCTTGAAGTACCACAGGGGTCTTCATTCCAAACTGCAAGTAGTCTGAAAATATCACATTTTTCTAAGGTCCTGGTTTTCAGCCAAGGAAAACTAGAAAAGTTCACACAAGCTGAAGGTTCTTAGTTCTTGAGCATCATCAGAATGATACAGCATAAACAAACAAGGTAAATGATAGCTAAAGATCTTCCACAGCACTCAAGGCAACCAGGCCCCAAATATGATTGAGTTTCTCAGAGCTAGTCTAATGAAATCTACTAATTACTTATTACTTGCATCACTATAATTCCTAGGAAGATTAGTCACAGAAAGGAATGCCTTTGTGCAAGGGACTGTACAAACACAGAGCAGAGCACAGTCACTGATACTGCTGCAAATGCCACCAAGAGAGCAGCCATTATCAGTGGACAGGATGATGTATATCCTAGTGTAGTTACCATTCTTGCCAGCCTGCCAGAGAAACCTTCTCAAGTTTATTATGTTAATAATAATAGATTGTTAAGATCTCATAAGCTTCCTCTCTACTAGAACCTTAAATATCAGAGTGGTGCTACTGCAAGTGGTTGCACCAAATGAATAGCATGAGCTTTCCAGGAGCAAACTTATTCTCAGCAGGGCTAGCTACAGCCTTCAGACAAGGTGCTTGAAAAACCCAATATAGATCAGTCAGCACGGAGTACCTGAATCTGAGCAAGCTTTCTGACATGCCATCAGTAGCCACAGCATCCTTACCTATCAAACAAAGGTTTCTGCAAGCCTTTCGTGCACCTTTTACTCTCAATGCTGCCTTGTTCACTTTGCCTCTAGTGACTTGGAACTTTCCAGGAGTGCAGGCACAACTGCTAATGCTGCCGTGTCAGCAGTGGTGATATCTTCAGTCCATGCAGGACATAGAAAACCACCAACAACGTCCCCAGAGGCAGAGGTATAGGGCCACGGACACCTGCCCTGACTTGGTGCCCCTGCTACGACCACTCCTCGTGCAGGAGGCCACCATAGGTTGCCCGGTTGATGGCCCGGGGAACAACTAACGCCACCCTTATCACTACCACGGCTCATCCCACAGATCTCGCAATCAAAGCATGAGCAGGATGAACTGGGGCCAAAAGCGAACAAGGGAGGAAGGCACAGCTAAAAGTTAATTAATTTAGTCTTTTAAGAGGCTGGAGTTGCTAGCAATGTACAGGCCGGCAGATGAAGAGAGCTGTCACCTCACCAAGCACGACACGTCTGGTCTCTTGCGGACGGGGACAGTCCCTGGATGAGAGGAAGCCCCGGGCGGGACACTGCCCGGCACCAGAGCCGCGAGCCTCCGCGCGGCAGCTCCGCGGGATGCACATCACTCCGGCCGGTACCCCCGGCCGCTCCCGGCTTCCCGCCCGCGCCGCTCCGCAGCCTCCCTCCGCGGGTACCTATCTCCGGTTATTCACCAGTGGGATGACAAATCTCCCGGGCGTGCGTCTGTCCCGTCTTTCCAGACAGAGCTGCGTCCCCATCTCGGCGGCGGACCGGCCGGCGAGGTGAGTAACCGCGAACTGACGGCACCACAAGAGCGTTTGTTTTGCTTTCCCTTCTCCTCCGCCCTCCCCGCGCTGACACGGAGGCCGTGAGCCGCCGACTCACCCTGTCCCCGCCGGGGCCGGCGGCGCGGGGCCGGGAGCAGCTCGGCGAGCGGGGCAGCGCAGGGGCCGCGCCGCGCCGCACGCCCCCGGGCGCGGGCACGCTCGGCGGGGCGCGGCGCCGCCGCGGGGCTCAGCGCTCCGCTCCCGCCTACCCCGCGGCAGCCGCGGCCCC